ACACTCTGACACCTGTCACTGTCACTGATTGACTCGCATTCTCTGACCTGTCAGAAGGTTCTGTACGAACAGCGGACTAGCTGTCAGCAAACAGTCAGAAACTGTACGAACAGGTAACATCTCCCTGATTCTGATTTTGACAGTCACCGACAAGTTACCGACTACTGTATGAACAAAGCGGATGATGATGATGATGGTGATGATGTTTTACAAAAATATACGTTCTGTGACTTCCGACAGTAGCTTCGAAGTGGTATCAACCTTACTTTTTAATTGTAAGCCATAAAAGCTATAAATGTTGAACAATTCCATAAACTTAAAATCACCAAATCACTTTTCGTCTTTGTGAAATTAATCGACCACTAAGTATCAGAGGTAGTGTTTGTTTTACCTATATTAAAGTAATTATCAGAGATACTGTAATCAGGAAAGATCAAATCAGTATTAAGCTAACCAGTTGCAGTATGTTCTGAGTTTTAACAGCTGGTATCCGCAGTGCTGCAACAGGCACGGGCATCTCTATCAAAACAAGAGTGGGTCCTGCAATCGGCTTCATCCTAATTGCCTACACACAACAAGCTTTGGTCAAATAGCATCCGATACACTGCCACTCCATACCCGAAATATATATATATATATATAAATACTTGTCGGGAGGATACTTTATAAAACAAGGTAATTTTTTTTTTATTTTTACACACATATTTTGGTTTATCTTCCTTCTACAATCACTATCTGAAAATTAATGACTCAACTTCAAAGTCACCCTGTATATATATATATATAACTTGAGATGTGGTCATTGTCGTCTAGACCAGTTAGGTGAAAAATTAAAGCTTCCGCCTTTTGTTGGGTACTTCGACAAAAATTTAAGCAAAGAGGACTCTTTATACTTTTTTATTCTCTCTAGCTTTCAATGGACTTTGCCATCATCATCAGGAGATGATTGCAATCATCAAGTGGCTTCACGATGTAATGCTTTCATGTTCTAAAAATTTTTAATATGTTTTTAACTTGTTCTTGTCATATATATATATATATATAACTAAAAGTAGGGAAATAAAGGGCTGGGGCTTCATCAGGCCCGAAATGAATGCACATATGAAACTACAAAAGTAGATACACATGCCCACACATCCGGATACGGGTGTAACCTGAGCCATTTTATACTACAATGTGTAGGTTGGCTCTTATTGTGGACTTCGTGTGCCTTTTTTTTCCTCTCCAACTATGGGCATGTGTATCTACTTTTGTAGTTTCATATGTGAATTCATTTCAGGCCTGAACAAACAGAAATACGTATTGCTCGGGTTACCTATCCTATTTTCTGCTCGAAGTCACTTTCCCTTTTTGCAGATTTTGCGGTGATGGCACACTTAACATAACCACGTATTTAGGGATTCCAGATACACGACAGTGTAATATGTAATTCTGCAGAAAAAAATCTTGGATGGAACACTTTTTATATGGAAATTTGTTTTTCCAAAATACCATTTTCCAGCAATACCTCAACGGCAAATATCAACACAGAACAAACGTTGAAGAATAGACCACAGAAGATTTATTATCGATCACAGGACGGAATATATGCGAATTCTGTCAGCGCTGCGTTGCCATATTATTTCGCCACCTGAGAGGTGTATAGTCACACCGTAGTTGACTGTGATTTGAAATATATTAACATTTGAATCATCCACGTTTGAGCTAATAAGTTTTAAGACAATGAAAATAAAAAATAAAAAGGTATATTTACTTAAAATGAGTGTTAAGTAATCAAAAACAACAAAAATACAAAAACAGTGACTAAAACACAGTATTTACTAAAAAACATAATAAATAAAATATAAATATACAGGGTGACTTCGAAGTTGAGTCATTTATTTTAACAGTGAGTAGATCTGATCAAAAGAAATGTTTTTTCCTTTAACATTTTTGTGGTAAAATTAAAGTAACAAAGTTATAGCCCTTTAGAAGTTTGAGTACCGCCCTGTCTCAATAATAATATTATGTGCTCGTGTTTGGCGACAACGGATATAATCCGCCTTATCGGTTCATCCCATCGGAAACAAAAAAGCGAAAGAATTTGTTAAACGCTGATCACGATGTTTTTATTCAGTCGATGTGTCAGTCGGTAACGCGTGAGTGAATAGTGGTGTTTGCTGCGTGGCTCAAACGAAATAAAAAATGGCACATGTTTATGCGGATCGGTTTCCCAATCGAGTGCAACCAACCCCTCGTGCCTTTGTTAATGTAGTACAACGGGTTCGTGAATCATTTGACTTAAGACCTCACATATGGACGGCATGCCAGTGCTCCAAGACCTCACGATCAAATACAGGTCCGCACTGAAATACTTGTTGGGAGGATACTTTATAAAACAAGGTAAAATTTTTGTTTAATTTTTTTATTTTTACACACATATTTTGGTTTATCTTCCTTCTACAATCATTATTTGAAAATTAATGACTCAACTTCAAAGTCACCCTGTAAATAAAACTGATTTTTTATACCTTTTTAATTTTTTTATTTTCACTGTCTTAGAATTATTGAGCTTTAACGTGTACGATTCTTATGTTAATATCCTTAAAAATCAGTGAACCACAATGTGTCTATAAACCTCTCAGGTGGCGAAATATGGCAAAGCAGCGTTGTCAAAATTCGCATCCATTTCGATCCTGTGATCGATAATCGATCTTCTGTGGTCTATTGTATAACGTCACTGCAGTATATACGTTTTGTGGTCACTTCTCACTTGTTCTGTGTTGATATTTGAAGTCGATGTATAGCTGCAAAATGGTATTTTAAAAAAACAAATTTCTATATAAACAGTGCTCCATCCAAGATTTTTTTTGTGCAGAATTCCATATTACACTGTCGCGTACACGTTAAACCTGCAATAACCCCTAAATACCTGGTTAAGTTAAGTGTACCATCACCGAAAAGGCTTTTCCATGTAAGGGTTTGGAAGTTCAGTTTTGCAAATGTATGATAAACTATAAACACACGGTAGGTGATATTATTATAATCACATATGGATTACAAAAGTTGCCAGAAATTGGCTAAACACACACTCAGCAACTTCTCTATCCTCTAAATCCAAAGGTGAGTAGGTAATACACTCAATTTGGATTCTACGATGGAAATTTTTGCTAAACGAAAAGCAAGACACTGATTCAAATTAAAATAATTCTATTTTGTATTGAATAAAAAATGTTTGATCTCACAGTCTCTAGTTGATTCAGGTTATACAGGGTGACTTTGAAGTTGAGTCATTAATTTTCAGATAATGATTGTAGAAGGAAGATAAACCAAAATATGTGTGTAAAAATAAAAAAATAAAATTACCTTGTTTTATAAAGTATCCTCCCGACAAGTATTTCAGTGCGGACCTGTATTTGATCGTGCGGTCTTGGAGCACCGGCATGCCCTCCCCTGTGAGGTCTTAAGTCACCTGATTCACGAGCTCTTTGTACTACATTAACAAAGGCACGAGGGGTTGGTTGCACTCGATTGGGAAACCGATTCGTATAAATCCGTGATGCCGCGTAAATAAGAATCATGTCCACAAGTTCAGCATTTTCGTAAACATGTGCCATTTTTGATTTCGTTTGAGCCACGCAACAGACAGTCACTATTCACTCACGCGTTACCGACTGACACTGACTGTATACAACTGAATAAAATAATTGTAAAAACATCGTTCCAAATTCTTTCGCTTTTTTGTTTCCGATGCGATTAACCGATAAGGCGGATTATATCCGTTGTTGCCAAACACGAGCACATAATATTATTATTGAGACAGGGCGGTACTCAAACTTCCAAAGGGCTATAACTTTGTTACTTTAATTTTACCAGAAAAATGGTAAAGGAAAAAAATATTTCTTTTGATCAGATCTACTCACTGTTAAAATAAATGACTCAACTTCGAAGTCACCCTGTATAGACATATAGTGAAAAAACAGAGGTTAACAGTGCGCAGCAGCTACTATTGTGCATATAATTGTGACATCCTTATGGCCAGCAAAATCTGTAGTTCGAACTTTATCTGAACAATTTAGATGGATTTTACGGTGAGACAAAGCTAAAAATTGAGCTTATACAAACGTCCGCGCATAAATGCCGATTGCATATATACGTATGAGGGAGATGAATGTTTCAAAGTAGTACCTGTACTTTTACTCTGACCTGTTAAAAACCATGAAAAGACCTATAAAATAAATTCGGTCATGGTCGTGACCTATATTCATGGTATAGTAACAAATTATTACTTTAATTCTAACAGTTTGAATGGCCCATGTATATGTACAACCCAGCAAATATAAACTTATTGTTATCTTTGTCTACTTTTATTAACACATTGTTCATCATCATCCACCTAACTAGTGGTTGAATGTCAACCAAGTCACCCTAGCTCTTGTCTGGCAAAATTGTCAGCAGTGAGCCTCTCGCCAAGCATAAAGCTGTCTCTGCTAGTCAACTCATCTACCTCATTCGAGAAGATGATTTGGAGTGTTCTCCTCATAATTACAGTATTATTACCGATTGCTTTTCAATACAAACCTTAATGTCTGAAACCAGTTTTCTGGTCCATGCACCATGGCATACTAGTACTCGTATACTACCCCATCCACCTGCCATCAAACATATATGCCTCTCTTTGGTGTTTGTAGGACAATCAGTATTTACTATGATGCATCAGTATTTATTCTAGAATTCATTACAGAATATGATATTTATGGACCGTGTAGCGAGGATACCAGTATTTATTGATGTATAGCATTACGTATAAATCAACTGACGTTCATGGAATCGTCAGTAAATACTGATGGTTTGGAACACAGTAAATATTGATCGTATGACATTTGTCTTTCGCTGTTTTTTAGCCGTTCTTATAGAGCGCACATCTCCCTCCAACCTGGAAGTCAGTTAGCGGGAAATCAGCGAATTAGTTGATACCATTGTTGCAAAGATAAACCGTAACACTATCCATTTGTTTCCAGATATTTTAGTAGCAGCAATCTCTGACACATTAAAGGAGCATCCAGAATCAGCATCAGGAAACCAAAATTTCATAGGACAGAAGATGGTCGACCCTAACGCGGATGAAAGAATGTCTATCAGGGATTTCCTCATTACGAAAGAACAGGACAAAATTAATAGACCACAACACCTAAACAAGGAGAAACTCAACAATCACTTCCGTTTCAACTTCCTCAAGTATAAAGCGACGTAAATGTATAGTAAAATAATTATGCAGTAACACTCAGAGGGTGAGTCTCTACTAGGGTTCACAGTACATCATATACGATGAACTGCAACGATCGATTACTTGGATGCTCGACTTAATTACAAAAAATTTAATAATTAAATTGATGGACCTTGGCTAAGGGCAAATGGAAATGGTGGCACTTCCGCTGGTACCGGAGATTGATACCAACTTACTTTAAATAGAACAACCTGTATATTGTTCAATTTTTGGATTCTAATCTTACTTATAACGACGACGTCTCGGCCACCATGGTGACCTTTTCCAAGTACAAATGACAATTCTGGTGACAATATATTTGGTTTATCTACAGAAGACATTCCAAGTGACAGTTCGTTTGTTTTTCCTTTTCGCACACCTGCACAGTGTGTTAATACAACAATCTTTAATGTGCTGAGATTGCTCGAAGGTATCATTGCAATTTTGCATTCCCTTCCCAAAAGGACGGCGAGGCCCTCAAAGCGACAAGCTAGCATTGAGTAAGTCATTTTTTTAAGTACCAGACCCGTCACCCTCGTCCAGCGTCCCGAAAATGACAAAAGTTTTCCGAAAACGCGAAAACTCATTGAGAACTGTTGGTGCCTTGCCACCCACTAAGAAATTTTCCTACCCACCGCTCTTTAAAAACTTTGAAAGACTAATAACATAACCATGATATAAATTAAATAAAATTATTGAGATGTTGAAGGTTGTACAGCAAAGTATAGATTAATCTTATCTCTAACAATATGCGTATTTATAATAAATCGGTATCTGGAAGGAATCTGTTATGATGAGAAAGTACACAAAAACATTTATTCATCAATATAAGAAAGTATACACATATCATTGACATAATAATTAACAAGAACTCATAAAGAAAGTAAATACCCGGAAATATACAGGAATAATAACATGTTTACTGAATTTACAGGATAATATCATAATTCCTCCCTTCCACGAAAAAGTTGGTCTCTAACTTTCTAAAGGTGAAGATTTACAGTCATTGTTTAATATTCTGAAGTGTGATTGAGGATTCATGGTTTACATTCACTTCCGTCTGAAGCATATGGATATTTTACATAAAATATGTTAAACATAAGAAGTAAAACGATCACAATTGTATAAATTATCGAGGAACCATAAGTATGATATTGTAGGGATGTTTGATGTAAATCGGACCTTTTAGTAGGTACCAGGATTTTAGAAGCTTTATTTTGGTTATTTCTATCAAGAATCTTTTGTTGTTTCCCTAAGGTGTGTTTAGCAATTTCTTTACGTTTTTCGCTTACTTCTTTGGTTGTGGTACTGCGTACAGATTGGTTGTAGACAAAGATAGACTTCAGTAATTAAATCATTAATGGGGTCTAATTTCCTTTTTGTTCCTACAATCTAGGGCGCTATGAAAACGTTCGATAGGTGCTATATAAGTTTGGGTTGGAGGTACTTCCTGGATTGAGTTGAGAAGTTCTCCAGGATCCGCATGAAGCGTGGTAGGGTATCCACGGTGGGAAAATGAATGCTTCATTTTTTTAGTATTTCGATTCGATTTCGTGAAGTAATGTTTTACGCTTGGTCGTAACATCTAGAGTGATCTAGAACAGTAAGATATATAGACTTTTCTACCTTGAACATATCTACGAAAATTAGTTGGAAAGGTTTGGTGGTGAAAAATGGCCCTTGTAAGGATGTGTTGGGCGATCTCCTTTCCTATTTATTATTGAGGCAAATTTCGCAGTTATTGATATGACCGGCGATCAAGTTTTATGCCATTATGTGTTTTAGAATGGTAAAGAGAAATTTCTTCAAGCGATTTTTCCTTAGATAAATATTCGGGCTTATATGCCGCTTTAATGAATTTGATTTGGTATGGTTAAAATATTTACTGAGGACTCTGTTAATGGTTATCTCGTCAAAGTAATAAATTCCATAAATAATATTTGGTTGGCAGTGATTTTTTAGGAAGTTTAAAATTTGCGGATGTTCCCTTCCATGAGTTAACGAACGGTTAATAGTGATATTGACTGTGGTAGAGATGTTACATTTATCTTTATATTGAAATAGGATACGATTTTTGAAATAATACTTTGTTTTCTGAGAATTGAATAATATTAGGATTAGACTCCGGAGATGTATGTTGAGTATTTTCAGAGCGGTTGTCTTCGGAGACTAAAGGTATTTGGGACTCCGTAATAGCGTAAAAAATGTCTGAGGGACCTAATATATTTAAAATTTCGTCTTACTTTTCGTTGCTAATTTAGATGATTTCGTTTACATTGGGGAATGTGGAAAGATAAGCGTCTTCTATCGCGTGGATTTCGATGTGACTAAGGGCATCGGCAACATAGATTTCTTTGCCTTCGGTTTATGGTCAGTCTCTATTGTGAATTTATGGCCAAAAAGATAAGGTCTGAAGTGTTTACACGAATCTATAATTGAGAAACGTTATTTGTCGATAGTGCTATAATTTCGCTCGGCAGAATTTAAAGTTCGTGACTGAAAAAATCAATAGGTTTTCCATTTTTGGGAAAAAACGCTTCTAATAGCAATGTTACTAGCATCTGTGATTAGACTAAAGGGCTTTGAAAAATCAGGGTATGAGAGTACGCGGGCGTTGGTAATTATTTTCTCCAGAATGTCAAAGGCATTAACATAATCCTGATTTCCAACATCTATTTTTTTTCTCCTGTGTAAAAGGTTTAGTGAAGTCTCTGATAAATTTACGGTAATAATTTGCAAGTCCTAATAATGATTGGATATGCTTAATCGTTTTAGGAATGGGAAAATTTTTAATTGCTTTTATCTTATCAGAATTGGATCTTATGCCGTTGGGTGTTATAATTTGGCTAAAAAGGGGACATCCTTTCTAAAAAATTGTGTTTTGCCTAATTGGATCTTGAGTTGGTATTTGATTAAAGCTTCAAAAATCAGTTTTAAGTGATAGACGTGTTCTTGTAAAGATTTCTAAAAAATAATATAATACAGATACACAAAAGAGAATTTACCAATACGAGGAAGTAACACAGAATTGATCATGCGTTGGAAAGTTGCAAGGGAGTGTTTCAAATCAAAAGGCATACGCACATATTCGTAATTCGTAATGGCCATTTTCAACGTTAAAACCAATTTTTTTCTTTCGAATTTGGATGCATGAGTATTTGATGAGAGCCTTGGCCAAGATCTAAGGTGGAGAAATATTTTGCCTTTCCTAGGTTTTGAAGAATTTCTTCTGTACGCGGTAACAGATATTTGTCCTCGATCATGATTTCGTTATGTTTTCGGTAATCGATAACCGTTCTAAATTTCTTTTGGCCGGATGCGTCGCCGGTCTTTGGGACTATCCACACCGGAAATGCGTATGGACTAGTACTGAATTTCTTGTTTTAAATGGAAGGGATATCTGAAAGATTTTTCAAAGCTAGGGACGTCATCCTTAGTTCTAATGGTATGAGAAGTGGCGTTACATGGTTTTAGTTTCTCACTAAGCTTCAAAACATCATTTGGGTAATTTTGACAAAGCTTTAAAATATTTTCACGTTCTTCGGAATTCTTATGTGCGGATTAATTTGGACATTTGACTGTACTATGATCAGATGTCGAAATTTGTGGCTCACAATTTATCTCGGTATTATTGAGGTCTAGTGACATGGTACCTTCAGGAAAGTCTACCAAGCTCATTTCACTGTACACGCGGATTTGGGGGGGGAGAATAACTGTGAGCTACTATATATATGATCTCACGTATCCCCTAAAAAGGCGTCAAGTAGGTTGAATATGTACTGCACCATGTGCAATGTTATTACGTATATATTTTAATGGGATTTTAGAAAAGTAACACCTTTATCAAATTGAGTTACTTCAAATTTCGACCTCGAATGCCTTTTTGTTATTACAGATTGAGAATGATACTGAAAATCTGATAAAATCTAAACTAGTCTGTAGAAGATTGAAGTCCACTACGTCTAAATTTGGAGAACTTCCACTTTCGTTATTGAAATCTTCCACTTTAATAAACTTAATACTACTGACAACTTTATAAAACGCTGTATTCATCCACTCACATTCTACTGAAGTACTTGCAGGTCTCTCGCATCTTTTCAAAAGACAGATCAAAAACGTTATTTTTTTCTTTACATCCACCCAGCTTAGCAGCACAATAAATGACACATAACAGTTTCAACTTTTTCCTCACTTTCGTCACAGACGAATGTGCAGTGTAAGGCGTAGTTTTCACTTTATGTTCAGGTGTAACTCTGCATTTTACAATGCATTTTGTACCTTCACGATTCAACCGAACATATATATATATATATATATATATAGCATCTTCACGATACGAATCTCTGCCTGCCCCCTGGAAAAAATTGTGTCATATTCTCAAATCTGTACTCATATTAGACATCAACACCAATTTGTTTCAAACCTCAGTAGGATATCGCACATTTTACAGCTAGCCGTGATAGTATAGCAGTAGGCATAAATCCTTACTTCCAAAGTTTCACAAATTTTATTTCCGCGCTTGTATATATAATCATTTTTTCACTGGTTGATTATATTTCATCTATATTTTGCTGATATGTCATTACTTATGCGATTCTGAACATCACGAAACTTCTCCATTATCGGAATCCTTATATCTTAATGGAAGTACAATAACATGACCGTTCTTGGACTTCCTTAGGTCTACGTTCTGGATTTTTACCAATATGGCAAATTAAATTTAAATTAGCAATAGCTTGAGATACAGTCATACTTGTTGTGCCAATTAATTAATAGTAACTCTACATCATATTGTACTCCATATTCGTAAAACAAAGGGATTTTTCAAGCGTATTTTTGATTTGTTTACAAGTTTTAATTTCAAAAAATTTTGGAAAGATATAGTCGTGGAAAATTTGAAATGCAAGATTTTCGTTCATAAGTGAGGAAGAAGCTCCTGTATTTATGGGTATCAGTAGGTCTCAATAAGTACTACACAAATACGGAAGGTGGGTATCTTGATAATTATTAAAGTCTATGTTAATACGGAGTCGTTATGGGCTTAATGAAAATTTTCGAATATTTCTTCTAGGTTTTCAAAATATTCAAATTGATCATAATTTTGATATTGATCATACTAATCCTCTTGAAAATATTGAGAGTCATTATTTTCATGATCAGAAGGATCCTGACGGTAGAAGTATTAATCTAAAGCTGATTCATTGTTACTAAATTCTTCGGAAACAAAATTACTTGTTTGGCCATTATTGTTAAAAAAGCCTAGGTGTATTCACGGGACGATTATTATTATTCGGTCCAACAGTTTTGGTTATTTCGATTGGGGGCATCACAATTTTGATTAGCTTGGGGTCTCGAGCTAAAAGCTGGGATATTTGTGGGCAGACGAGGGGCGTTGTTCATTATAAGTCTGGGCATGTTCATGGGACTAGTTGGGAATCGTGGTTGATTCATTTGAGTAGGTCTCCATGAGTGTTTATTTTGGAGTGTAGGAGGGCGTGGCTGCATAAAATTTGGTCTAGGGTTTTGCAAATTTGGACTTGTTTTAGAAGGTTTGATGTTTTAGTTAGCAAAGTCTTTGAAGCTAGATTGCAACTGCAAATTTTCATAGTCGTGACAAGCAGAGATAACGACTTCCAACGTTTCATGCTGGAGGCGTAACAGAATAGAACGATAGGGTTCGCATAGCCAATTTCTTATAAAAACCTAGTTTAGAGTTTTGAATGATGACATCTGGGTATTCTAATTTGGCATGTTCTCGTAGAACATGTAATTTTCTCAAAACTTTATTATAAAAGGTAATATAATCAGAAGTTTGTTTTAGCATGTTTAGCATTTGTTGATCAAAATAATCTCACTTCTGCGTTCTCTATAATTGCGCATGAAAGTGGTTGTGACTACATCCCAAGTATCAGAACAAGCCTGTAAAACCGATTATTTTGCTTCACCTTCTAGTAGTCAGACAACGTAGATCAAAGCGTCTTGTTGGAAAGGGGATCGATCAAATGCGATCAAAAATCGTTCGCAATTTTGAATATATTTAGATAGATTGTTAGTTTCATGTGAAAATGTTGGCAAACTATTTTTTAATAAATCAAATCCTGATGTAACGGGGGGTCTGTCTCAAATTTCTGTAACTGAATTTTAGTTTGAAATTGGCGAATTTACTTGTGGTTCCCTTCTTACACATATAGTAAAACGATTTTGTAAAGGCATTCAAATTAGTATCAGGAATACAGAATAAAAGTTTCTTACTTAAAATTTACTTACGCTAGTAGCAATAATTTCTGCATGGGTTCTCCTGGAATACCAGTGATGGTCAATTCTGTAGACTCAGCTGGAAATCTGTTGGAGTGTCGCTATACTTGCATTGGGCGTCGTCTTGTTCTTGTACTAGGTAGGGGCCGGTTGAATTCTCGCGGAGATGGAGTCTTCACTGGTTTCCAACCTTGTACTATCGAGCTTTTTCGTGGCGAGATACTTCAAAACTCGTCAGCTTCTTCGGATAGCTTCTTCGGGATGATTAAAATCTTCCTCCTCGTTGAAATGGTAGAACTTCTCAAATGGATGGAGCTTGGGTCACCCCAATAGCTCAAACGATAATTGGAGTACTCACTTGCCTCGGGTTACAGCTTCTAGATCTTCTGATACTCGATTGAGTAGTACTTGGTATCTATCCGACTAGACTACACTCGAAATAGCAAACCGATTTTCAACGGATAAGCTATCCTGTTCGCAGCGCTAATTAAATAAAATAGGCGACGAACCACTTCAAAAATTATTTATTGAGATGTTGAATGTTATACAGCAAAACATCTTATCTCTAACAATATGCGTATTTATAATAAATCGGCATCTTGAAGAAATGTGTTATTATTGGAAAGTATATAAAAACATTTGCTCATCAATATAAGAAACTATACACAGATATCATTGACCTCATGATTAACAAGCACTCCTAAGAAAACTAAATACCGGGAATATATAGGAACAATAAGATGTTCACTAAATATACGAGGGTGGTACCATAATTTATATAACATGTTTCTTCTTGACGATGTCTAATAGTGAAAAATAAAGACGGTTCCATTATCAGAGAAAGAATACTTTTAGATCTTTTCAGAACCTAATTTGTATTCCCTTTATTGGAGGTCCTGTGTTATTATTTAAACCCTATTTCACGAGTATCCATCACACTTTGACGTCTACTGAAGTGAACAGCTCATCAGCAAGTGATATTCTTGTGTTAGTCTACAACATTGGCAATAATGAATCGGGTGTAAATCTAGTAAAGCTTGTTTGTAGCATTTGTTTTTTGTATGCAAATTAACTTATTGTAAATAAAAGACCTGTTAGCAAGTGCAAAATGAATCTGTAGCCTACAAAAAACCAAAACGTCTACCTGGCGTTCACGGATCTGTCAAAATTATGTAACCTTTGCCGATACGGTGAATTTTTAAATATTACTAGATAATCAGCTGTCATTCTACCGTAACGGATACCCGTGAAAAATATATTATCCAACTATCTAAGTAAATACCAATAAAGTAAGTCCCTTGCTACAAGAAAACCGTTACAGATTGTACAAATATAATAAAGATATAAGTATAGGAGAAATTAGAGATTATTTAATTTGATTTTACACTTAGGGATAGGATTATATATATATATATATATGAAATTTACATACAATCCCACGATAAATTCAAAAATTCGATGTCCAATTCAAAATAATCAAGTTGGTATCTACTTCTGGTATAACCGGAAGTACTGCTATTTTGAAGACAGTTTTACCGAATTTCTAAAATCAATTTTATTGTAACGCCAAGCTTTCGTAATCGTTTGACGACTACTTTCCAGGCAATTGATTGCTGTAGTTCTTTACGGGACACACTATATACAGGTTTGTGTGCAACTGGTCTTATAATTCGAACAGTGGGTGCAAACAAAAGCACTCCAGGGCGTCAGAATATCCTTGATATCTGATCTGTTATTTTCCTTCTAACATGAAAGATTTTTATATCAGATTCACAACGACATGAAGCACTGCACCACTCTGTTATCATGCATGCGCATTGGCACTTACATATCAGTACGGAGAAAATATTCAATCCATGACTTGTTGAAACTAAAAACTTAAAAAACTGGGAATGTTTATCCAATTTTAATATAAGCTACCTGCACTATTTTTCAATTTAACCTATATAACCTAATAGACCTCACTTCTCTGAATGAATTAGTTTCGACTTTTACACATTTATTTTCGGTATGATATACTTGTAATTTGATTCTTATTTCATAGTTTATGTTGGTTTATCAGCGAGATACAGTATACTCATCTTCAAGGAAGAAAAAGAAATAGATTATCTATCACCGTTTTCGAGGCATTTGGGAAATAATTGAGAAACCCTGATAAACCAACTATATCGTTGAAAAAATTTGAGAAGGTCTGCACTTGATATAACATAACAAATTGATCGTATTTTCAAAATTCAATGTTACTTGAACTTAAGTTGTGTTAACTGTCTTATAGATTGTATTTATATATGTCTAATATATTTTAATAATCCACGATGCCATTTGCTGTTTAAAAATAAGCTAAATTTTACATACAGGGTAATATAGTAGTGTCGAAGTAAATGAATTATAAAGTTAATCAGTGATAGAAATTGATTTATTGCCCAAAATTAAAGCTACCTATAAAATTGTTGTAGTGCAAAATTAATCACGAAAGAGTTTAACCGAGTATCCTTATTATTCTAGTGAATTAAAACAAAAATTAGTTTCTACGTATGCCCTGATATTTGATTTTGACTTGATTGTCTTTCCAGTCCATTCCGATATAGTTCCATCTTGTAGAAAATATCCCATAGACTTAATATCGCACTCATTCAGATTGTCCTGATATTGCCCATCCTTAAAAAACTGACAAGAACTCTTGCTGGGAAAAACACAAAATTATTTTGTGGGATCGTCAACATGCTATTAAACGTTTCTCATCAAAAAAGCTCCATAGTATCAGACTTATAAAAATATATCATACATTTTCACAAAGCTGCGATAATTACATGATCAAACGAACTTACCTGTAAGTGATGTTCGATCTTAATTATGTGAAGTCCTCGTCGAAGTAAATACTTAGAATACATATAGTAGTACGCTCGTATAGTCAAAATCACGAAAGATGGCCATTACGTCATACCATAAATTGTACTGAAGTAATCATTGGACGTACGTCGATGATAAAATCACGAGTCAGAAACATACTGACAACAAATTTATATCATGATTTTGCGAAGTTAGGTTATTTCACTGATTATTTTTATTTTCATTTTATTTCATGGTTTTGAGTGATACCTTAATAATAATTTTAGTGAGGAGGTTTTGTTTTAACAAAAACAGTTGTGAGTAGAATACCTTAAGACAGGAACACCAAACACCAAATTATTATTCGAAAACAACATAACCTGCTTCAACATAACCTAACTATTGATCTTTCAAATATGATCGATCATGCAACATGAAAACATCGTCTATCTTTGTCTGATACATGCAAATTAGCAATACAGTTTGTTTAGACAATAAAATTGTGTTTGTCTCTGTCTAACATATCAGAAACTTCATTAAATATATTCACAAATCGGTGTCGTTTGTCTTTACTGCAGACTAAAATGATTCCGTGATTTCGACTATAGTAGTACCCAACCGCCACGATTTCAAAGCACACACGCAGCGAAAGAAAGCGGCACCGCGCCCCTTCCCCCTACCCTTCTCCCCTCTGGCCGCCTATAAACCTTCATTTACTGCACAAAGCCAAGTTGTTGCAACAATTGGGTGATACATAGGGAGCATGGGAGCTATTTACTTCGACGAGGACTTCACATAATTAAGATCGAACATCACTTACAGGTAAGTTCGTTTGATCACGTTATGTTCCATCCTCGTCGCAGTAAATATTTAGAATACATATCGTAGATGTTCAAAGCTAGTTGCAACAACATACTACTAACGCTCTGCAATAGTAAACGATAGGTTATACACAACTACACAAATTGTACGCAATGTATGTGTCAACTAAATGTACATTTCCACTGTAACAATTCAAGTTAAGGCTTTTAGCAACAGGTAATATGACGTACCTGGTTAAAAATTACCATCCATTTCATGGTAATTAGCAAATAACGTAATAACATAATTATGTTTAAGGTGTGATGAACCGATTCTCCGGTGAGTGACCCCTAAACTTTCAAAAACTGAGAAATCCCAATTTCAGTATTATTCAACCCAATCCGGATACTGTTTGTTTCAATTAGTTTACACACTCTGACCTGAGGTTAGAGCTAGCAGTGTTGCTGATTTCCTCATCCAAATATCTACAGAGCCTACCAACAACCATTTTGGTTGGTTGAGAACAACCACAGTATCTATATTTCAATTGAGATGGCCTCAGCCTGTAAATGCCCTTCAAAAACCATCTTATGTCTGCATCGTTAATAACATTTTGGGTAAAAGACTGATAGCTCAAACAATTATATCTTGATCTCTTATCACCTGTAAGGTAAGAAATTTCAAGGTAGGAAACCAGACATGTATTTCTTCCCGACAAAGGTCCTACCGTAATTTAAGCCCACAATACATGATGGATTATCGATGCTGATTGGAATGACAGCTTTCCAGTGAGGATAACCACGGAAAGCTTCAGAATTAGTGGAAGCGGCGGCCAGGGTCCCTCCGTCAAATCCTTGCGTTACTTCTAGAAGTGAAAATTCAGAAACGCCGAATACCAACCAAAATCAGGACGATGACAGGTACAGCTCCCACTCCGTTTTCACGTCCCAGTGACGCAAAAGCTCATCTGTACCAGTATTACTCCCAGATTCTTCACACATTTGCCTTAGTTTTCCCGCAACCTGATCCAGACGAGGAAACTAGAAGCTCTCCATTCTATTGATGTACGATGGGGTATAATATGCGATAGCCCATCAATTCGGTAGCAAAGCATTCACCAAAGAAAAAAACTACCAGTGATTCTTGATGATTAGCATGCGGGATCTTCTTCTCGGGTAACAAAAAACTAGAGACTTCTCCCTGGCCAATGAATGTCCCAGTCCGAGAAATTATACAACTAAAAATTGGATAACTCAATACCTCTGACCACATCTGCCAGTTTCTTTGAGACCCAGCCGAAGTAGACCTTAAGTTATATTATGTTAGTGGTCTAGTAGCGTTAAAATTTCCTTGAGAATTTTATAAGGCCAGAAATTTCACTCGTTAGTGTATAGTCGGCTGTAATGAAATGAAAGACAAACTGACACCAGGATCCCGATGTTCACCGCAAAGCTTCGGACTCTGTCTTTGCTGCCGTCCATTATTGCCCTTACTAGGATTAGTAATGTCTGCATCATCCGTTCAAGTAAAGTTACTTTCTTTCTGTCACAATTTAATACTGAGCCTGAAAGTTCTCATCTTTTCCTTGAAGTATTCCAGAAATGGTTTAATTAACTTTGTGAACACATAAGGGGCACAATTTACCCTAAGCGGTACTGCATTGTATTGGAACAGCTGTCCCTTGAATATGAATCTGAAATATATTCTATGACTCTACCTAACGGGTACCAAAATCCTTTCATATTCCAAATCCAGATTCGTTAAGAAATTATCTCTATGGAGAAGTCTTATCCCAGTTCAATAGCTCAGACAAAGTGTCTTGGCGTAAGGAATCGAACGTGTTGACCCATCAGACTTGCGGACAAGAAAAAGTTAGACTAATGAGATTCAGCTAAAGTGCTAAACATGGCAACTGACCACTTGAGTCCAACTCAGGACATTAGCGCCACTCCTAAAGCTCTGCCATTGACGATGAATATGCGGTAATGTCCATGCTGATCTACACACCTCATCTGCAATAGTGGGTCGATGTTGTCAGTACGTTGTCTGGCCTTATGGCCTTCAGTTGCTGCTCAGTTTATCTGATTCCCATTTAGAATTGACTTACTTGGTCAGACCTACACCGAAGAACAAGATATCACTGGAAGCCTCTGTCAGAGTACTACTGAGTTCTTTGCTTTAATGTGAATATCTGCCATCATCCACTCCTCTCCCTTCTTTGAACCTAGAGGATAGAGTATTGCCTAGTGATGCGCGATATTGTGATTTTGAAATCATGTCGTGATTCGTGATTGTGATTGTTCAGTAGCAGTGATTCTAAACTGTGATTCAATCACGACTTCCGTAATGTTATAATAGCAATAGCACTAATAACAGTTTAAGTACTTTAAGTTCCTTGGGAGAACATAGCGTTTGTAACATTATTAAAATGTGTCTATACTTTACAATCAATTATTACTATATGAAAAAATGCTACCATTGCTAAACAATAAACATGACTGATAAATATATTAACATATTTTATTAACGCCATTGCAAAAAATATAAACTTAAAACTTGAATATAACAATAACTGCAGTAAAAAAATAAAAATAAAATAGATAAATCAAATAACGAAATAACGTATGGCAAATTTGAGTCTATGTTCATAAATGCTTATTTTTTATTAGCATTTAGAAATAGCAACATTTGCACCTTTTTATCGGACAGACGATTCCTCCTTTCAGTTAAAATTTGCCCCGCCTTGGAAAATAAACGTTCGCATGGAACTGATGATGCCAGGGCACATAATCTTTCTTGGGCTATTTCGGAAAGAGTAGGTAACATTTGCTTATGCTGTTTCCACCAAAGTAGGGTATCGCTTTGTCGAGGTGTAATATCAACGGGCCACTTTAGGTCTATTTAACATCACTAATACGTAAAAAGAAGGTGGTAGACAAGGACCAGTCGACCGAGGCAGTACCACCCGCTAGCTTTTCCCAGGGTGTCTTATAAATGTCCGCATGTTTCCACACCTAAGCTATGCAGTCGGTTATCTACCAAAACAAAGAAATTAATGATGATGGATCCCTCGAGCACTAAAAACTCCGGACGTAAACTCACTCCACTCTCGGAATGTCCGGGTGGAGGGTGGGCTCGAGGGAACAACATCGAAGATAAAATTTGTTTTTCGAACATCTGCGGGATCAACAGCTACATTGATGCTGTTCATCACTACCTGCAATCCAATCGTCCCGCCGTGCTTTTCTTGGCGGAGACAAAAATCTCAGAGGCTGCACCGATTAACCATCTCAACTTCCCAAACTACGAGGTGCACTCCAATCTGAGAAAGAACGGGGGAGTTGTGGCTTTTGTCCGCAGCAGTCTTTCCTGCTCCAGGGATCTTTCTTTGGAATCAGACCGGAAGGACATTCTGTGGCTTCGCCTCAACTCCAAAACATCACCCAAATTTATTTGCTGCCTTTATCGCTCTCCCTCGAACCATAACTGGGATGACCTACTCGAATACCTCGCCGTCCAGATCGACTTCCTGAACATCAATCACCCCGCTTCAGAGGTAGTTCTTCTCGGTGATTTCAATGCCCATAATGAGCTTTGGTTGGGCTCAAATTAGACCGATGCAGCAGGTCGTGCAGTCGAAGCGTTCGCTCTTACTCAAGGGCTGACCCAGCTGGTGACGAGCCCTACTTTTTTCCCCCGCGTCTCGTC